CGAAGCGGAAATGCATTGAATAATGCACATGTTTTCAAAAAAAAAAACGTTTCATAATCCTTTACTGGATTTCCTTTATGGAAAATTATTTTCATTTAAACAGGTCGTTTATATTTGAATAAATGGCAATTTTTGCTTATTAAATTCATTTTAGCGCCTCGGGCGATTCATAAACAAACAATTGGTAATCGATCTTTTAATAGATAGAAAAATAATGAAAAATACAAGAAAGACTCGATAAAATTTGGCAAATTCATGTGCCAAAATTTTATTAAACTACGAATCGAGGGTGATAAAAAAATTTATATATCAGTTGCGTTTTTTTTTTTTTTTTTTTTTTACTGCAGTCAACATTTATAATTAGGCTGCTTGTTGCATTGCATAGGATGAGCCGCTTCCTCTGGTGACTAACTTGGTAACAAGATCAAAAGTGGATCTTCAGCACCATTTGAGCTTTTTAACGGTAAATTTCTTCCTTCCAGGGGATTAATGCTAATTTAAGCAATGCACCATCTACTATGCCAAGTTACTTATTTCTGCAATTTCGTCATTTGACAAAACTTTTTATAAAAAATTATAAGAATGGAAAAAGTACAAATTGCTTATTGCTCATATATTGTTTTTTCTTATTGATTAAGTTGATTGCCACTTTTTTTTTGTAAAAATAATAAATTTTCAAATTTTAATAGCAATTTAATAACAAATAAATAAGTGAAATTTTCCGGGAAAGGTAATTATGAAATGGCGAAATAAACCTTTTTTGGATCTTTCTTAGATGGATTTAGAAAAATAAAATAAATAAAGCGAATCATAAATGGCAAATCTATCACCACGGAAATAAAGCATTTTCAGCTAGCGAGTGGAAGAAAATTTTTCAAATTTTTTTTGCGATTGTTAATTTCGTAAATAAAATTGTAATCATAGTAGATCGTTGATTAACGTTTTGTTTTACAACAATCATAGAGGCTGATTAGACATATCGCAAGCGATAACAATTGGTCGTATAAGTATCAAATGTCAACAAAAATAAGCTTGTTAACCCTCATCATTTCATAATACCTAAGGCAGATTAGATTTGAGATTTGATATGCGAGGAGTGTATTCTTGCTAGCTTTCTTCTTCTACAACAAGATTTCATGGATCAATCGCTTGCAATTGCTGCATATGAGATCCATGTAAAATCAGTGAGGAGTTATAGATTTTTTCATAAAGCAATATGATATCTCTACTGATATCGCTCCTTATCTCTACTTTTATTCCCAAATGATTTGTCATTTTAGTTGTCAGTGTAGGTAGTTAAACCAGAAATGATTAGTGGCGCTAGAAGAATAGTGAAAAGATATTATGGCTTATGGCGATCGAGATAAGGTATAAAAATTTTTTAAAAAAACAACTGAAAATGGAAAAAAAAAGATATATTAAGTAAAAATCGACAAAGAAAAGTGGGAAAAAAATTTGTGGGATTTGTCGGATGAATGAAGAACGATTAAATTGGCATTGAAGTGGGTTTTAGCTATATCTTCTAGCTAAGCACTTCCGTATTTACACCTCAGGCTTTCATTAAAATGCCTTTAAATATCAGACACGCCTATTTCATATGAAGAGAACACTCCGCCTTATACAACAAAATTGATAATAATTTATGAAATTCAATATTTTATCCAAGAAAAATTATACATAAATATAAAATACATAAATAAATATAAAATAAAGTAATAGCGATGATGTCGGATTGTGCTAAGATTCCAGTTGCATTTTTATCTCTAAGCGACTCTATGGTGAAAGGGTTTCATCCTAGTGGAAGCAAGTGGAACTGTCCAATTAAGCCAGAAAAAACTGATAGGTACCAATGATAATAAGAAATAAATAAAGGGTATTCTCAGAAGATTGAAGCTACAAATTTTTTGCATGGAATAACAACGGATTTTCTATGATTTTCGTTTTTTTTAAAGATATATAAATCTATCAGAAATATATAAATCTTCTTTCAGCAATTCAAGTGCATATCAATTTTTTAAAGATTTCTTAAAAATTTCTTTAACAAAACTTAAAAATTCAATATTTCGACGACCATTTTAAAATTTTAAGATATTCAAATTCACTCATTCTAAATTCCATAATCTTGAAAAAGCTTTTAAAATTTTTTGAGCATAAAATGGCTTTTGCTTGAAAATACGAATAGCTAATTTTTCTTTTTTTTTTTTTCTCATCGATGAATAGAGATTTTCTCGTTGATTCCTATTTCTCTGCATTCTTCTATAATCTAGAAATTCCATTCATCATTTCTGGTTTGGTTGGTTCCACTGACTGCTAATAGCTCTTTTAGCCAGAGAGTTATAGGGTAGAAGTGGCTAAAAGATCCCTGAAATTATTTCACAATTTCACTTTCAATGACAAGTTGTAATTCCGTAAAGAGACAAGAGACAAGGCTCTATAATGCTTAATGCTTGAACTTAGTCGCAGCAACATATCACTCGGTCATTCCACTGCTGACATAAATTCACTATGTTAGTTTAGCAATTATAATCAATTTTTTGGACAAAACAATTATTTGAAAATTCCATCGAGAATTGTTCAAATATTGGTTTTTTCTTTTCTAATTATTTTTTAAAGTTTGATTACAGCGAAGAAAATTGAAATTCATTTCAACTATTATTATTGCTGTAAAACAGATGTTTTGCGCAAAATTATAAAGAACAGCTGAAGATAAATACTCTAAAAAAATTTTATCCAATTCAATTTGAATAATATTAAGTATATTTGAAAATTAAATAGATTACATAGATGAATATTTATATGGGAAATTACTTCGCTAGCTATGCTTATGCTTATTTAAAAGATGATCGAACATAGCCAACAAAAGTTATTATTATTTAATAAAAATAATAGAAAACAATTAGAAAGCAATATAACTTTAATAAAATAAAAATATAAATGAAAATAAAAAATAAAGGAAAAATCATTTTTATCACCTTTTTATCAAATTTATTATTATCACATTTTGCTTTCTCTCAACGAATCAACAGTTTGAATTGAATGAAGGAATTTAAGGATAATTTAGTAGGCTATCTGATGATTTCATCTCATCGCTAACATTGGACCATTATTTTTAATGAATCCGGCGGATTGGCGAAAAATCCTCCTTTTTTGGCTAAAACCTTTTGTCCTGGCTCATATAAAGATTTTTAATAAAGATAATTTGAATTTTGAACGTTTTTGGCTTGGGATGGCCGAATAAACTTCTTTTTATAGCGTATTTGTCCATGATCGATTAGTTTTCTTCTTTTTTATCAGATAGGGTCGTTAAAAATTGCATGATTTAAGTTATATTATTATTCTAACATTACTGCTGGGATTTGCGAAAAGTTTGCATTCTCATTATAATGCAGAAACGAGGCAACAAAAAATAGAACCAATGAATGCTAAGTGAAGAAATAACTTTAGGAAATTTGCTTTTAATTTCACTTAGAAAAAAAAATTATAAAAATAAAAATTCATTTAGGAAAATATTAAAAATGAAACGGATTAATTTTTTCATTAAAAAAAAATATGCATTGTTTTATCTCAAACATAGCCAAATATATCATATCATTGAGCAACATACCATTGAGGGCTACGATAGCCGAATGGATAGCAGTTCAGAATATTGTGTGGAGAAGCAGGAGCTCGACTGTTGTCTCCGAGTTAGCCTACCATTCGATTGTTGCTGCGCTTCTATAGCCAAATGACCTTGGCAAAAATTTCTGTCAACCGGTAGAGTACCAGTAGAAATGCTTTGCTCGAGCCATTATTTGCTAATCAACCAATAAAAGCTCTGAAGTTGGATTCATTCCCCTTTACCCAGTGGTTTACAATATTTTGGTGATATTTTTTCAGATTTTATTTCATTTCGGAATAAATCGAAAAATGATAAAATAAAATAATAAAATAATAAAATTTTATAAAATGATAAGTTGATGATTGAATAAATTGGAATAAATTCGATGGAAAAAAAATGAGAAAAAAAATTTCACCATAAATTGTGGATTTAATCACATTTTCTTTTCATTTTCTTTTCTTTTATGTCAATATGGACGGAGATTGATTTATTATTTTAATAATCTTCAAAAAATCTTAAAATGGCATTTATGATAATTTATAATTGCTTTCATTCTTTAAAGAACCACTTACACTATCTGCCTTTCTTTCTTTCAATTATTATCATGGATTTACGAATTATTCTTGGCAAAATATATATGTATATATTTTATTATATTAGAGTATTTATGCAATTTTTGTAGTTTTTCGCCTTCAAAGAATCCTTTGCCAGAGAATCATTTGAGGACTGAAATTCGGATTGATCATCAGTACCACTCGGATTTGGCAGATTTATATCTATTGTGGAAGAGGGCTGAACTATTATAACTTGAATCTAATCATCATACACATCTTAAGAATATATTATTTTCGGTTTTATAGTCCTTTTAAAATAATACTTCTGAAGAACAAATTGTAATAATGGCGAAATATAATGCTCAATAAAAATTATTTTACATTCATTTAAAGCAATTTTACGACTCAAATCATCAATAGAAAATATTTTATTTTAATCTGAATAGAAATCGCCAAATGAAAAATTTTAATAATTTTCGAGAAATTTTTATTTTCATCTTTAAAATTTTCAATAACAATAATAAAATTATTATTTATAATTTATTCATTAAAATAGCATTAAAAATTTAAAATTAAAATTTAAATTATTAAAATTATTAAATTTATTAAAATTTTTATTTTCATCTTTAAAATTTTTAATAACAATAATAAAATTATTATTTATAATTTATTTATTAAAATAACATTAAAAATTTAAAATTAAAATTTAAATTATTAAAATTATTAAATTTATTAAAATTTTTATTTTCATCTTTAAAATTTTCAATAACAATAATAAAATTATTATTTATAATTTATTTATTAAAATAGCATTTTAGAATGGCGATGCAATTAACGACACCGCAGTGATGTTTTTGAATGATCACCAACAGCTGCATATTGAATCGGCTGCTGAAGAGGATGCTGGACGTTATTCGTGTGTTGCCGAAAATAAACCAGGCAGAGTGGAGAAGGATATGATCGTCGCCGTTCTTAGTTTGTTCCATCTTATCTCTGAACAAAATATATTCAAGTTGACTTTATAAATTGACTCAACATTTCTAATTAGGTTTGCTCCATCGAGTTATTTTGCAGTGAAATTTTTTCTCTTCTAACACACCAACTTCCATGTTAGCCATCTCCAATGCGTCTCCAAACCTTTCGATCTGATTCGATTCGATCTTTTTTTAAAGAGTCCTCACCATTTTTGGTTAAACTCGCTTCACTGGCTTGTCGCATTGGGCAATATGCCAGCGAGCCCTCTGGCGATAGAAATACAGATGAGTTACCAGCATCACTCGGATTTTTGTACAGCTTTACTCCTGCGGGGAATCGAACCTCAGCATCGGCGCTCCAAACTGAGCAACAATCCACTGAGCAATTCTATCGACATAGCTATAAATAATAATATATCGTCGATAAAATGCGAATAAAAAGTAGCTGAAATAAAATATCAGTTTGAATATTTAATTGTTAATTTAAAACATACATGCAAAAAATTACATTTTCGCATCGAATTAAAGAAATATGTTAAATTATTGAAAGAAATTTGAACTTTTCATTCATATCAGCTATGCAAATTATGTAATTTGATATTAGTAATTCAATTTTGCACATTGATATTTATGCGAAATTGAATTGCTAATGCTTAGAGAGAATGTAATCGAATGCCACGTTGCTTTGTCTAAGGTTAAACCGTCGTGGGTTCTTTTTCTTGATGGCTTTGATTAACTTATTATTACTAGAAGTGAAATTCGAGTTGCTATGCAGACTTGATACTTCTCTCTGATAGATTCAAATAATCAGTATTAAATTTTTAATTTTAAGCTTTTTACGACTTCTATCTATAAATTAAATACATTACTTATGGCTTGCAGAGCCGCCAGAGATGGAAGATTATGAGCGATTACTTGAATCACCAGAAAACGATTCATTAACTCTAACTTGTCCCATAAATGATCCATCTGTCGAAATGCAATGGTTGAAGAATGGTGTTCCAATTACTACTTCCAGTAAATTACAGGTCATTTGACAGGCCATTTGTTTTCTTCGATGAGAACTACTTATAAACTAAAAATTTTACATTAAAACATTTTTCTTTGCCATCCACACGAAATTCAATTTTAATCATTATTTTACAGGTGTGAACATATTTATATTGCTATGCTTACTATTTCTTCAGGAATTATCGTAGATATCGACTAAAACAACCATTTTTTAATAGCTTCAAAGAAAATGATCATTGATAATTATAAAGATTTAGCTATCAGCTAGCAGGGCGAAGCTGCATCTCATGAACAGCCAGGTTTCCGATTCTGGTCGTTACACATGTCGCGCATGGAATGATGCTGGAGAGGATGTTTCTAATATGGATGTTTTAGTATTAAGTGAATTTTACAATAGATTATTATAGCAACAGATCAAGAATTACTGTTTAATCGATTGTAAATTCTTAGGTAGATTTTTTATGGAGTTAAGAAGGCAAAGATTACAAAAAGATGAAGCTTCATGAAGCTCATGAAGCTCATGAATTCCTTCAAAAATGATGCATATTGATTGTCGATGGGAAAACCAGTCAACATTATATTTATAATTTATAATTTTATTCACTTCACTCAGTTTTCATATTTTTTCAAATAATCAAAAAATCATGGAATTTTTTAAAAAATTCCAATAAATGAGTTTAAAAAAATCGTTTAATATTTATGGATCTATTTAAGGTTTAACGAATCGAAATTTTATAGTTTTCTTTCTAAATTCGCTAAATTTTCAATAGATTCGATAATATTCGATATTAAAAAATTCCATGATTTTCCATGAATTCCATGAAAAAAAAAATCCGATTTTATTTTAGTTCCACCAAAAATCGTCGGACCGTCGTTTCGTTCGATTAATTCAATTCTCAATCAGACAGTTCATATTGAATGTAAAATAACTGGTACACCACAACCAAAAGTATTTTGGTCATTCGATGGTCGAAAATTATTTCCGTCCGAGAGAACGCAGGTTTCCCCATTTCAGCAAATAATTATTATTTTTATTATTTAGTGCGAAAATTTTATTATTATAGATATTAAGCAGATTTAAAAAATATTTATTATTTATTCTGAACTTTTTCTTTAAATCGATTTAACAAATAGAAAAGAAGAATTTTTTGGCAAATAAATCGCCTAAATTTATTTACAAATGGTTTTCACTGCTGTGGAACTTCAAAAATTTAATGTTGAACATTTGCTTAATTAACCTTTACTTATTTGAAATGCAGATAAGAAACAACGGCACAGTGCTCGTTCTATCAGAAGTACAAACAAATCAAGAAGGTCGATATTCCTGCATAGCGACAAATAAAGTTGGTCGAGCTGAGGCTGATATATTTTTGCAAGTTACAGGTGATAAATTAACATAAGTTAAAAAGCAAAAGCATTTGCAGGATTATTTCGAGTTGAAAAAAACATCAAATGCGCTATTATTATTAGTGTCTTCCACCATAAATTGCTCGAATAAGCGAAATAAATCATAAATTGCAGTGCCTCCACTGATAACAACTCCAGCTGATGAACTGAAAGTGATTAAGGGTCAAGGGCAAACGATTCGGTGCGAAGTAAGTGGTTCCCCTTCGCCAAAAGTTGAATGGCTAAAGAATGGACAGAAATTCGATTCGGCGATGATACAACGATCGAGCAATTTGCATTACATACATTTAAGGTTTTATTCCCTCGTTTCTTCTTTTTAGAGAGAGTACTCACCGCTTATTTCCATATTAAAATCTCTCACCACATCTTTGCTCAATGGCAATTAGTTGCAGAGAAGCTCAAGTAAAAGATGCTGGTCGTTATACTTGCATAGCAACAAACCGTGCAGGCGAGCATCGAATCACAATTCAACTTCATGTATTAGGTATTATTGAAAATCACAAAATAATAACAAAAAAACCCGTCATAAAGTCCTCCGGCAGAAAAAAAGAGAAAGCAAAAGTCCTCCGGCAGAAAAAAAGAGAAAGCAAAAGTCCTCCGGCAGAAAAAAAGAGAAAGCAATTTTATAAACAGACAGATAAAAAATACAAATTATTAATTTATTAATTTTTTAATTATTAATTTAAAAATAAAATAAAATTATTAATTTAAAAATAAAAATAAATAAGAAATAAATAATTTAGAAGTAAATAACAAATAAATAATTATTAATTTAGAAATAAATTTTTTTTTAGTCCATAAATTTATTTTTAGTCAATTCTCAATTCTCAAATTAAAGAAGAGTTGAATTTAAGAAGTTAAATTTCGCTTTAATTGAGATTTTTTATATATATATATTTATAAATTGTTTAAAAAAATTACATAGTAGTTAAGGTTTTAAAGAAAGATTCTTTAAAGAGATTCTTTAATTTCCCATTTATTTATATGCACAATTTTGCGGTTGTTTGCAGTGCCGCCAGCAATTTTTGAAGGAGATCGAGTCCTTCAAGTAAAAGAGAAGACAATGCTTACTGTAGATTGTCAAGCCAATGGTATTCCTGCACCGCAAATTTCATGGAAACGAGATGGTGTACCAGTAGATACAGTTGAAGGATCTCGACTTGTAATAAAGTCACCAAAGGCAAATGATGCTGGAAGGTGAATGTAATGACTAATAAAATTTTGACTATGAAATATATTTTAAAAAAATAAAATAGATTTGAAGAAATATAAAAAATTTTCATAGGTTTACATGCGAAGCACGTAATGAAGCGGGAATAGCAACAGCAGATTTCGAAATTGACGTATTCGTTAAACCACAATTCAGAGATTTGATCTCAGAAATAAGAGTTCTGGAAGGTGAGCGAGCAAGACTGGAATGCAAAGCCGATGGACATCCTGAACCATCCATAGCGTAAATTACTTACTCCTTACTATTTTTGCTGCGAATTTAAAATTATATCTTTAAAATTATTTATTAATTAAGAATAATTAACATTAATTCACTTTAATTTGGATAAATTATGAACAATAACATTTTTATCTTAATGTCTTTTATATAACCATAAAACTGGTTTATAATATTTAGGTGGTTACGCGGTGGTCGACTACTTGAAGACATGAAGAACTTCATATTGAGCCCAAGGGGTGAAACTCTAATGATCCTAAAGGCGAAGAGGTTTTTCTATAAAATAAATGCCACTTTATTGTACTTATTGAACTTCATTTATTTGTTTTTAGCCAAATTTTTTTGATAATTAATCGTTTAGAACTGATGGTGGAAGTTACTCTTGCGTCGCCAAGAATTATGCTGGTAAATCGGAAGCAAGCTTTACTGTTATCGTCCTAAATAGACCGCATATCGAGGAACTTATCGATCAAAATCCAAAAGTTGTACTTAATAATGATTTGGTGCTTCATTGTCCAGTTCTTGGCAATCCCAAGCCAAAGGTGGATCGCAAATTTTACAGTTAAATAAAGTAAATTCTTTGCATGTCCTTGTCATTATTTAATTTATGTCATTAAGGTGGAATGGTTTTTGAACGGTGTTTTAGTGAAAGGTGATCGATATACTATTATTGATGACACAGATTTGAAAATCTCATCATCACAGGTGAGCCATTCATTATGTTTATTGGGTATATTGCTAAAAATCATCAGCATTATATCATAAGTTCCATGTAATAGGTCTTGCTAGGTCTATCTTAAAATATTTTTTTTGCAGCAGACCGATAGTGGACGCTATTCATGTCGAGCTAAAAATGAAGCTGGAACCCTCAATACGGATTACGTTGTCGAAATTATTGGTTAATTTTCAAGCTATAAATAAAGTAATAGCTGCAGAAAATATATCTATATTTATTGTAAGATTCCTTAAGTTGATTCGAAACTAATTATTTTACGACCATTCCATTTTAATTTATTAATTAAAAAAAATCCTATGGATAGACAGAATTTAGTTAAATGTAACTGTAGTCAAATATATTCTTCTTCTTCTAACGGCTCTCACCACTACTGGTTAGGCTGACTACAAGGGTAAGACGTCTCCAAGCGGCTCGGTCTGATGCCATCGTTGACAGTAATGGAAGCTATTCCTTTTTCCATCGTCTAAGTCCATATATTGCTGATCCACCTATACATTCAAAATCTTTTCAAATATATGTGAAAACATTTCTCAATCTGAAAATATGAAAAATATCAAAAAATTAATTTATGATGAAATTCACTCGCTTAATGAGTATTAGTATACTCGTACTACTTATCCATACTACTTCGTTGCGGCACTCATTCGACCCATATGATTTTCATTATTCATTTACTTAATCATTGTCCTATTCCCTTGCAATTTTTGAATGTGTGGTCGCAGTCGAAGCCAACGGGGAAACGATGGTTAAAAGAAATTTCTGGGCTATGCTTGGATCAGAGAAGGTAATACAAATGGATATAACTGAATATTGCCAATTGGTTATAGCACAGATGTATCTGGCAGGGTATTGAAGGGAAATAATAGATTTCAGCATATTAAAGGAGTATTTGAGGATATGGCAACGATTTGAAGAATAAAGAGATATTTCAATTTCAAAGAAATATTTCAGGCCACTTTATAGGTCGCAGTTTAAACTACAGTTGTTCTTTTTTCCCAGATACTTATATAATATAAGTAAATGCACATCCACAAGGAAGTAAGCAAGTGCCTAACATTTGGTGGAATAAGGCAGTTTTTTCTGTCAAAAACTCAAAAACAGAGCACAGATTTATTCCTGGAGGGTAGAGACGAATTCTTGATGCTGGAACTGATAGTTTAAGGATGAACCATTTGTATAACGGAAATATGCCAAAAATATTAATATTTCTTTTATTCCAACAAGATTTCAAACTTTTTACAACAAAAACAGGTCCTCCAAAATTTCACCGTGGCGGCGATGCGAATTATGAAGCTGTTCTCGGCGGGACTATAACGATGAACTGTGCTGTTGATGCGGAACCGACACCTGAGATCGTGTGGTACCGCAGTGATACAGCAATATATCTTTCGGATAATATTCGGATATCAGATGACGGACAGGTTATTATTATTATCACTTCATTTTCGATAAGTTTTGCCCTTTTGGCAGAAAAAATTTCATAAAAATAATGAAATTAAAATTCTATCAATTTCAAATATAGTAAAACTAATTTGAATTTCCCATTTTAATAATTTGGTGAAAAGTGGATTGGCCTTTAGTGATTATTACTAGAAGCCAAATAATGATGCATCATAAGATTTGGATGGTGATAATAGATTAATTGATAATTTTAGCTCATCGGTCTATTTCCCTTTTTTTTAGTTATCATCCATTCCATTTATTGCTCTCCACACAATGTGAGCATATCGCGCTCTGCATCTTTCCTTGTTCACTTAAACAATTAAATAGATTTAACTTAAGATAAAACTGTAATTTTTGTATTTTATTATATATGTCCATTCATCGATTTATTAATTGTAAATAAGCAAGTGGGTAGGCCCAACTTACTAGCAACTCACTAGTGTGGTGAGAAATTCTTACTAGAAAGTCACTTGGGAATAGAAAAATTTGCAGGCCCTCAGGGCTGCTCGGCTGCACTTTTCTTTGCTATTCTTACTTCATAATTATTTCTTAACAATAGGCTTAATTTCTGAATCAGTAATATTAATTGGTAAATGTGTTGCATAAATCCAACTAGTGCACAGAGGTTATTGTATATCTTCTGTATGTATAGAAAGCTGTGATTAATGATGCTTTTTTTTTCCCTTGACTAAATTATCATTTTTTCATTTATAAAGGCTGTGAAGGCTATTCCACAGGATATTTTCGGTAAAGGTTTCGGCTCAGACAGTAATTTGCGATCCATTCCTCTTTGCAGCAAATAACGATTCGTGGGATACAAATCAGCGATGGTGGAAAATATACTTGTAAAGCGAAAAATGAAGCTGGATCCGCAGATATTGACTTGAACTTAAAGATTCTTGTACCGCCGAATATTGATAAATCTAATATTATTGGAAATCCTTTGGCGATTGCAGGAAGGTTAAGACTACTTTGCATACCCAATATTCAGCCTATAAAAAAATTATACGAATAGATTTATTGAGTATACTGAGTATGTTCGATTAGTGTAAATAAAATGAATTCTATGTAACCGATAACCGATAATTGTCGGCTGTCGACCATAATTAATAGTAATCGGCAGTTAAGTAATTTCAGATCGATATATCTTGAGTGTCCTGTAACTGGCATTCCGCAGCCAGATATAACTTGGCTCAAAGATGGCTTAGTCATAACAACCAGTGAGCATTTTTCACTGGACCAGGTAAAAATTTGCTTTATTTAGAGAAATCTTTGATTACCCACAATATATATATATATATATATATATGTACAGATGTTATGTCTTAGAATAACCAAACGTTTGGTATAAAAATAGTTGATATCGATGATGCTGGCCGTTATCAGTGTATCGCTGAGAATAGAGGAGGAACAGCAGAACAAGAATTCAAGCTGGAAGTGTTAGGTAATGCAATTCTTGTCCATCATTTTTTTTTTCAATAATGTTCTTTAGCTAAATTGTGAAAAACTGAGGACTGCCGCCATGTCCTCATATCACCTTCGTTATAAAAAGCGAATTCTGGGCAAGAAATTTAAAACATAGGAGATTTTTGAAGATTGAAATTCTTTTTCTTTGGAACTTTACTTCATTTTTTTTTTTTTGAGGAATCGGATATTCCATATTTTCATTTTCTACTTGTATTTTTCATCATTAGAATTTTTCTTAGTTCCTCCTGAACTTGAAACCACCGAGCCTCAAAAACATATCAAACACGAGAAGGATAGCTTAACGCTTTGGTGTCCAGTAAGATATACACCTGATAGTGTTTCTTTACCCGATATCCTTTGGTACAAAGATGGTAGACCAATTGATACAAGGAGTTCATCGAATATTAAGGTTTATTTATACATATTTATTTATATAATTTATCCTTATATATATATATATATATTATAATATTTAAATATTTATTTATTTTATTTTCAATAGGTATTTGGCCTTTTAAATGCAAATCAAAATCTCATTGGAATATTACACTATATCTTTCAGATAACTTCAGAAGGTCAACGATTACAGCTGATAAAAACTACTTTAACAGATGCTGGCAATTATTCATGTGTCGCATTAAATAGGGCCGGTGAAACATCATTGACTTTCCACGTGGAAATTCTTTGTATGAATCTAGCAGAATTAAAATATTTTAAAATTCGGGAAAATATTCATGGAAGATATATTTTTTGTTTTTTAAGAGTCCTCACCAGTAATGGTTAACTCGCTTCACTGGCTTGTCGCATTGGGCAATATGCCAGACGATAGAAATACAGGTGAGTCGCCAGCACCACCCGAATTTTCGCATAGGGGAATGGAACCTCAGCATCGGCGCTCCAAACTGAGCAACAACCCACTGATGCAATTCTATCTATGGAAGATATGTAGAAAATCATATTGAAGCATTATATAAAATTATTGGAATCTTTATGTTTATCAGGTTATTATTAAAGATGAAATGTCCTGGATGATCATGCCACCAACTCAGTAACCATAGGACTTCATATTGGCTATAACTCTAAGAGCTGGCCGACATAAATGAGTATGAAAGAAGAACTCAACATTAGGCTCATATTATGGATATTTTCTATCCACCCTAATCCAATCTAATCTATTGGATTGTATTGACTTTTCGAATCAAGTCGTTAGACAACTTCAGTCTTCAATTAACGTTAAAATAGAAACTAATGATGATGAACTTGGTACCAAACAGAAATTTAAACAGCCTTAAAGTTATTAAGATTTTTAAAAAATAAACTTTGAATAGTGGGATTATTGCTGATACGTGAAAAATGTCACAGCCTTCAATACTTGCGAATTTGCTTTTGCGTTCGCTCCTGTCTCATCTGCAATACGAATCCCTTATTGTCCTCAATCGAAGCAATAATCCCACATGTCATTAGACCATTCAACGCTCAATGACATTTTTCTGTAGAAATAAGGATTTGCAATAAAAAGTACATGAACGTTTTCAGTTCTTTAGAAATAATTGGATAATTGGTTTTTTTTAAAGGCAAAAAATTCCCATAAATGCTTCTAGTAGAATTAATGGAATAATTAATAATTTGATACATGGAATATGCATCATTTTATAGCTTTACATATTCTGGCTCAGCTAGTTATTTGCTTCAGTTGTCGGCGAATCCGGAACGACTATTATGCTGAACTTTTCTCCGTTGAATAATTTAATTCGAAATTTCAAAAAGAATTACTTAATAAGATTCACAGATTTATTTTCGTGAATGAGATCCACTGGACCCGCTGTCTGGACCTGGATCCTAATTTTCCCTATCCTTTGGAAGCATATTGCGCGAATGATTTAATATTTATTTCCGTTAATGCTAATGATCATTTGAAATTAGAGCTTTTAAAATATATCAAATCTTTTTAAAACGATTTTTTGAAATTCTACTATGGCTTTTAATATTTAGCCATATATTCTGTAAACTTTACCTTAATGTTCAAAAAGGCATTCAATATTTTCTTCTATTGCTTCATTCGTATTCATATGAATTTGGTGGTTGAAGAGATCTTTTATCAGTTGTTTTATAAATCCATTAAAAGCCACTTTCCTACTATTAAATCAAAATTATTAGAAATTATCGCCTAAGAATCATACGACATAAGTGGGTTGCCAGGTTTACTCATGTAGCGGGCAGCAAGTGAGCATTCGCCGTTCAACGCGATAATTATGGATACAAATGGATACAGTCGGATACAAATTCTCCTAATATATCAGCTGCATTTTATTTATAAAAATAAAACTGTGTGCTATGTGAGAATTGCTCTAACATTTAGCTTAACTCTCAAGTGAACCTATTAAATATAATTTGAATGCTTAGCAAGCAAAAATTACAAGAAGCACGAATTTAGTTAGCTGTTGCATGGCTTGAAGAAAATTTTGACGCATAATAAAAGGTTATCAATTGAATTATCAAAATTAATCATTTATGCGATTTATCTATTTTAAATAATAAATAAGATGGATTTTAAAAAAATTTTTACCAATGAAAAAAAAATCTTTACTTCAAAAAATAAAAATAAGCGGAAAATCGTGAAAAAATTAGATGAAATTGGAAATAAATATAAGAAGAGGATAACAACAAATACAAAGTTATAATTTTCAATGGCCTACCAAAATCTCTTTGGCGAGTAAACTTATAAAAATACGGATAAACTTATCGCTTATCGTATTATTGTCCGAATTTCAAAATTTTCCAAATTTTGATTTGAGTTTTGTATGATTTCTTTAAATAAAAATATTTCGGAAATAGCGCATTTTTCCATGAATATAACTCGTAAATATTTTTAAAAAGTTTTAAAAATTATTAAAAATAGAAAGTCGTGCAAATAATAGCTTTGAAATGTTTTTAGCAATGCCAAAGATCGACAGTTCTTCACAGATTGCGCAACCGCATGTGATTATTGGTAAACCGGTAACAATTTGGTGCAAGGTAACAGGGTATCCAATGCCAATAATCAAATGGTTGAAAGATGGAAAAGAACAAAACGTGATGAATCGAGCAGATATCCAAGTTCTTGAAAATGGCCAAGGTCCTTTTTGAATATTAAAATCTTATAATAACCACACGTTGCTTAAATTTGGATATAAGAGGAAAAAAATGATAGATAAGAATATCGCATACGGTCTCATTTTTTGAAATTTTATAGGACTAATGATCCTAGAAACGAAAGAAGAACATGCAGGAATATGGATTTGTGAAGCTGAAAATAATGCAGGAAAAAATCAATTAGATATAACACTTGATGTTTGGAGTAAGTTCATATGAAAACCCATTTTTTATTTGCTATATTCATTTATTTTTTTAATCCGTAGATCCACAGATAATTTTGCAGCGCCTCCAGTTGTTGCTATATCACCGAACGATACTCTTCGTGCTCTTGATACACCAATTACCCTTTATTGCGAAGCAACTGGAAATCCCGAGCCATCACTATCTTGGAGCAAAGAAGGACAGCCATTAATATCGTCTGTCGAAGGTGAATGCTTAATTCATTCGTTTGTGAAGGGTCAACGATGATCGAGTACTTTAATTGCATCGTTGTTCATTCTTCATCATAGCTTTGATTTTTCACCACGGCTGGAGTGGTGAATTGCGATTATCATTATAAATTTAATTTAGGAGCACGAATTTCGTTAAAAGGAAAACGATTAGATATTCCCCGGCTCCGACAGTCGCATGTTGGAGAATATTCATGCATTGCAACTAATGAAGCTGGGAGAGCTGAAGCAGTGGTCCATATTGATGTTTTAGGTAAAATTTGTTCAGATATCATAAAACGATTTTAGCGTCAAAAATAAGTTAAATTTGGCCTTATAATTTCAATATCTATAGTTATGCAAAAAAGAAGAAAATGAGGAAAAAACAAAATGATCTTTTCTTAATCAACGTATATTTAAGTACCTCCTATAATAAATCGAGATAACATTGAAATGAGTCCAAGGCTACCAACTGGTCAAACTTTAACACTTCTCTGTGATGCAACTGGAAAACCGAAACCAACGATTCAGTGGTAATTTTTGAATGGTCGACTTCAAATAAGTGGAACTACAAGCTTAAAGAGATTTATACAAAAATATTCAAATATTTAAAATTTACAAAAGACAAAAAATCAGTTTTTAATAAAAATCTCTGGGAAACCACCGAATAATTTTTTGATTATCCTAGGTATGCCAATGATACTTTAATCGTCAACGGTAAAAATAACGTAATTATCGACAATGAAAATCGATACATTCAGGTAAAAGAAGAATTTTTTAAATAAAAAACATTCATTGCACCGAAAATCGTTCGGGGCGCCAGTGCTCAAGTTCTTTTCTCGACTGTCCTTTTAAAATCCAGGTGAAACTGGCGACTCATCCGTATTTCCTTATCACCAAGTGACTTTCTGAGAAAAATTTTCTGCTCCGGATTAGCTAGCGGAGTGACCCGAAATGGTGGGTATCGCAAAAAAAATTTAATTGATCTGTTTTTAAAAAATATTATTGAAAAAAATCGACCGACCTAGTATTTAATTTCAAGAGATTCTGCTCATATTACTCCAAAATACTGATTTAATATTTATTAAATTTTTATAAAATGCGAGACGAGTTTTTTTTTATATCTTCATTTTTGCAAATTTAAAGCCTTGTAATTTTTTTCTAACTTTTTAACTTAGATAACATAATTAACTTAATAGATCAGCAACATATCTCTACCTGACCATGGAATTTACAAATGTAGTGCATCAAATATTGCTGGATACGATGAACTCCTCTACACAGTATCCATAGTCCGTAAGTAAAAATAATATCGGAAATTCAAGTTTTAACGAGTTAACTTTTACTGAAATATATTAAAAATCATTTTTTTATACGATTACCATTATTAAATTTTTATTACTTCAAAAAACCCTGCGAACTCTTGAAATATTTCACCGGACTTCTAGAATCCCCATGGATAGGAAACGGTGGTACGGTACAAACTGTAGAAGGCGACATTACCAAGATGATTTGTGATGCTTATGGTGAACCACCGCCAGTTGTGACCTGGCAGAGGAATGGTATTCGTGTCGAAAGTGGAGTTCGGTATATCATTGAAGATAAAGTAATTTTTCGCAATTATTTTTGGAAAAAAATGCGTCAATCTTAAATCATTTCAACAGGCTATAGTAGTTCATCGACAATATTTTCAGCTATTGAAAATACTCGATACTCGAACGTCCGATTCCGGAATTTATGTATGTATTGCAACAAATGAAGCCGGAACTTCGCAACAAGCATTTACGCTGGAAGTTCTAGGTAGATATTGGTCATTAAAATTCCAATTTTCAGTTATTAAAATAAACTATATATTTGTCAAAATTTAGTTGTACCACGAATAACAATGACATCGCCAAACGATTCTGTGGTTCCAGTGGGAGAACCATTTAGCTTGAAATGCGGAGCTCGAGGCTATCCGGTTCCGGATATCGACTGGATGGTTAATGATAAACTAATTGATGCTGAAAACGAAGGGTTTTCCGTTGGTAACAAACTTTACTAACTTAACTAATAAATGCTCTATTTTAATGCAATTTTAAAAATCCAAAATTCTAATCTTGCAATATGAATAATAAGTGGATTTATATAATGGAAAAAAAAGCTGATGTGGAGTTCCTAATTCGTTGTGAATTTGGTGCCTTATCAATTGCAAGAAGAAAATTTTTTCTGCTTAATCTATTCCCATTAATGCATTCATTTAGCTGAGGATGGCACGCTTTTCATCAAAGGGATTCAGGAACAAATGAGTCTCAAACTAGTTTGTACAGCCAAGAATGATGCTGGTGAAGACAAAAAAGAATACATGGTTAAGATTATTGGTAAGATTTATTTGTTGCTTTTAACAGCACTCGTTTTTGCTGGTTTGAATGGTTCCAATTTCTTTTAAGATGAGATGCCTATGAAAAAAGTCACTAGAAAGTTTGTTTTTTTTTTTTTACTTCATTATCAAAGTGATTGGCTTTTATGTAATTCGACATGCATTATTAATGATAGCTCAAGAAAAAGCGAGAAATTTTTAGTGCAATTTGAAGAAATGTATAGGAATTTTTGCGCGAAAATTTTTCAGGCCCACCAGTTGTCACAAAAAGAGGAATTAAAATAATCAATGCAACTGAGGGTGATGCATCTCTACTCGTTTGTGAAGTGGAAGGACTAACACCTCAAATTCGTTGGTATAAGGTATAATAATCTATAAAACTCGGTAAAATATGAAATTTTAGCGAGACTTACACCTCATAATCACAAAAGGAATGCCTATTTATAATATTTATAAGCGTAGCAAGTAATGCATAGGATGGTTCGCCCTTATCGATAGAATCAAACATGGAATTTAATGAAGATCGAACAGAACTGAAGATTCATGCATCGCGATTGCACGATGAAGGAACATACGATTGTATTGCGATGAATCCGGCAGGAAATGCTACACAAAATTTATTACTTTATGTGGGAGGTATTCAGCCTTTACAGAGCAAAAGTTTTATATTTGAAATAGTTTTGAAATTTTTATTTTTAACTGTCATATTTCAGTTCCACCGAGAATTACGGAAAAACCACGACGTATCATCGTTAAAAGTGGTCAAACAGCCAAATTATGGTGTGAAGCTGTCGGAATACCTAAGCCACATATTACATGGTTGAAAGATGATCAAGCTCTCGAGCAAGGTAATTTTTGCCTTGGAGAATTACAAATAGATCTGCAGTAAGGAATATTTATTCAACCTTATTGTCAGTTATTGGCAAAAATAGCTTTCTCGCCTTATAAGTTTTTTATTGCGTTAAATTTACGAAAATAAATCTCTAAGATATATTTCTAGATAAGTGATTTATTTAAAACGAATATATCCTAGCACGGTGGCAACTCATAATTTAAAAAATTGGCAAAAAAGTCTACTTTAAATTTTCGAAATCTTTTTTCAGCTATTTTGGACGAATATTCAGATATACTGAAATCAGTAGCGGTGTTTCCGAATATAACCAGTGAGGATGCTGGTGTCTACACGTGCAAAGCTGAAAATTGGGCTGGAACGAGTTACAAAGACGTTGACTTAGTTGTATTAAGTGAGTTGGATTATGTGGCTTACTAGCTTACTTTACTCTAGTTCTATCGATAATATTTATATCTTATACTTTCCTTATTTAAGCAAAAGATTCAAAATTTAATTTCCAGTTCCACCAACGATCAGTCCTGAACGGCTAAATGTTACCGGAGAAATTTACGATACAGTTATATTACCATGTAACGCGTCTGGTATACCGGAACCCGTCGTCTCTTGGATTAAAATGCCAAATGTTAATATTGTTTCGAATGGAGAAAGTAAGCTGATTGATTTCAATTTTCCAATTTTTATTTTTATTTTGAATCACAAATTATGTTGTTTATGATGATGATATTTCCAGAATATCAAATTCTGGGCAGCTCGCTTGCAATTCGAAATATTGCAGCAGAAGATGATGGTTTTTATCACTGTGTCGCCAAAAGTAATGCAGGACAGGCCATTGGATCTCGACGGCTTATTGTCATCGGTATTCCTTCAATTAAAATTAGCCCATATTCTTATGACCGATTTCTGTTTGCTGCTTCCATTTGGACAAATCAATTCGAATCATAGCTTTTTGCAATATCTAACAAATTATGTGCTAAATGTTTTGGGGATAGAATAGCTTGTAAACCTGTACAAAAATCCGGGTGATGCTGGCGATGCTCACTTGTATTTCTATCGCCAAGGAACTCTCTGGCATATTGCTCAATTGCGACAAACCAGTGGAGCGAGTTTAAGCAGTAAAGGTGAGAACTCTTCAAAAAAAAATGTTATATTTTAGTGCCGGAAACTGATTTCAAAGTTATTTGGGTGGAATGCGACGGCCGAGGAATTCCAGTTAGAACAACGTATATTGCCGCTCGAGGCGATATGCCTGAATCTGACCATAATTTACTGCCATGGAAGCAAGAATATCAGGTAGAATACTTTTCAATAAATTTGAAATTATTTGGACAAAAAATTTTATGGAGAAAAATTATTTCATGAAAGGAAAACGAAATTTGAATGCAAAAAAATTTAAATAAATATTCTACCAGGATCTGCCAGTAAATGGAACGGATGGAACTCTAATTCGATGCTTGCCTGGAGTACGTGAACCTAGACATACCATTTCCGGTATTGCACCACGTTTTATCCATACTCCACAATCGCAGTCTGTACCTATTGGTTCGATTGTCGATCTATATTGCAGGTTTTCTATTAAAATTATTGATATTTTACAGTTAATAGTGAAACCATTTGCTCTAATGTCTTTACCTCAAAGAACAATTCTTCAATGGTACTGGATAGCCATGATCGTCGCTCAAATAATCGTCTTGAGAGCCATTTTTTCCGGATCCAACAGGAGCATATCTATCATTAAAGATCCAAAGTAGTGCTGGCGATCCAGCTGTATCGCCTTCTATCGCCATCTTCCCTGGCGGAAATTTCTTGCCATATTGTTAGCCAGTGGGGTTAATCTAACCAGAAATATTATTTTTTTATTTATTCAGTAATTTCATTTATTCGTAATTTTTAATTTGGTTGGCCCCATTAGCTATTAGAATAAGGGCCACTAAGAAATAGAGAGAGAAGTGGATCCTCAATCTCAGATTTCATTTTTAATGAGAGCTTTACTTCATTCAAGTGGCAATTCCACTTCACTGAATCTATTTACCTAAATCAGCGTGCCTATTTTAAGGCTTGGTTTGTTTCCATAATAAATTTTAAATTTTTTACTTATAAGAATCTTTGCACTAAAATGGTTTATTCCAAGGCCAGTTTTTCAAAATAATCCAGCGCCAATTGATAAATTTCAGCGCCGTCGGCTCGCCAATCCCGGAAATCCGATGGAGGTGGAATAACAAAACGATTGATGAAGAAACGAATACAAATGGTTTCTCGAAATTACGCCTTGTACTTGATAATCATGAAGACAGTGGCGAATATGCATGTGTGGCTGATAATGCCATGGGTAGCATTACTGCTTCGGTGCAGATTACCATTATAGCGCCATAATTTGTTTTAATTGCGTACCATATTACGATTTATATTCCATTTTTTGTTGCCTTTTTTTCTCGGTTTTTGCAAAATAAAAAATCCGTCAAACAAATGAAAATAATCGTGTCTTTCAAAAATAGCGCAAAAAGATTTGCTTTCGCTATTTTTGTCGCTATTTTTTCAGTTTTTTAGTCAAAATTTAAATTTCCAAATTCTTAATTTTAATTCAATTTAAAATTGATTGAATTGAAAAATTGAAAAAACGATCACAGCTTAATATTTAATAGTTTTGATGATAATAATCGCGAAAAATAGCGTAGTTAAAAAAATTTTATTTTTTATCACATTATATGGAATAAATAAAAATTTCTCGATTCTACTACTATTGCCACTTTTATCTATCGTTACTACTTTATTTTATAATTCAGTATTAATATCTCACAAATAGAGAGTAAGGGCAGAACGACTTCATCGTACATAATTTGTGCACCATTTGTTTGAGGCAGAAATAAATATACCAAATAGATTGTCTGAAAAGTCAAATATTTTAGTTTAGAATTTAAATTAGTAACCCATTTTCGGTTAAGTTCACTCTACTGGCCTATTACGGCTAGAAATTTCTTGCCAGGAATTTCGGAGATGTAGGGTGAATCGACTTTTTGTAACAAATTTATTCTATCAGGGATGGAATCGAAGCCTCGTTCCTTAACACGACACTATAACCTATAATCCACTTAAATATCCTGTCTCAAGTTTACGGTTCGTGAATATAGAGAAGTTTGTTCATTAGTTCTATTCCGCTAGTCAAGCCTCAATGCTTCAAGAAAAATGGGATGGAAGATGCAATAAATTCGAGCCAATAAATTAAAGCCATAACCTTGACGAGCCAATATATGGGGATCACGTGCATCATTTCCGCAGCATAGAAGTCAAATAATGACAATAACGTATAAATAAGCCAATAACACAGTAACGCCGACGTGTGCTCCCTTGCCGATCCTTCTAGCACCTGTAAAAATTTCTGATTTTTATTTATAAACTAGAAACTGCCGTAGAATATTAGAAAAATATTAAAGAATATTATTTGGAAGGTATGGACGGATGGACGAAAATGTTATTGTAAGTTAGCAGTTGGAGACAAATGTAAATGTAAATATCTTGTAGTAAGACAAGATGAGGATTATTTTCTCGGGGCTTCGACCTCTTTTTCGACCAAAGTGAACTTACCATCGAAAAGTCTATTTGCTCTACCCACCCATACTACTGTAGCCAAGGTGATTGATTTTTTGGCAAATTTTATAATTTCGTCAAAAAATTTTCAAAAGTGGTCAAAAATAATGACCGACGGAATTAACAAATCAGAAATGGTGACTTGAAAATGAAATAATTATTTATTTTATGATATTTATTTTATATTGAAGTAAATAGTAGTTCTATCAAAAGATTTTCAATGAAATTTGTAACGTATGACCTTTATCGTCAAAAATGCTGGGTAGAGAAATCCAATTAGATTGCTTAGAAGACCTGCTTCAGCCCCAATGATTAAGTATATTGCAGTGATTATTAGTGTACCATAAGCAATCTAAAAAAGCAAAGAGCAAAAAAAAGATAGTATAAGATAGTATTAGAATATGGCATATTAAAAGACATAGTAAGACAAATTCTTTAATGATTGAGTCGTGCATGTCGCTTCCTTGGGAAGAGCCATCAGTAGTAAATGGCTTTGAGGGCACGCTTCTATGGTTCTATGGTTCTTTGAAGGAAAAGAATTTTCATTAGAAGCCAGTAGAATAAATCTAATTGATTAAAGATAACCTTCTGGATAAATTATGAGATATGGGTTGGCCAGTCATAAAAAAAGGTATCTTTAAGAGGGCATTCTTCAAAGGTGTTCAATTCTAATGATAACAGTCGATTTTATTTAAATCGCATCATTTAGTGTAGATTGGCTCAGCGAATTTTTACTCAATTCGGAACGCAGATGCTGAGGTTCTTTCGTCCTCGCAGGAGAATATAAACTTGTCCAAGAATCCGATAATGCTGGCGATTCACCTGTACTTCTATCGCTAGAGAAACTTCCTGGTATATCTCTCTAGTGCGACAAGCCAGTGAAGATAAGTCTAACCAGTCATCTTATGACAACAGTCGATTTATTTTAAATCGCATCTTATTAGAGGATTTTTATGCATAGAAAATGCGAAATCCATTTTTGTATGATGTTTTAAATCCAATTCAACTGCTTTTTGTAACTTTACTAATTATTATTACTCATAGCTTATAGATTAATTATGATCGATTGCTAGAATCGAAAGTGGTTCTTCCTTTTTGAAAATTCTTACAATTTCACGTTTCAATCCATATTTTTTTTCAAAATTCTTGATCGCAGATTTGAGCTTAGGATTATCAATATTATGAAGAAATTTATGAAGTTCTGGTTGTATATCATTGAAGTGCTTTATTGTCGACTCACCCATATTGTTGTTGTGATAAACCCTTTTTCCCTTAAATCTATATTCATTAAATTCATAAAATCCCCCTAATTAGTGTAGGACAAATAAAAAGCTGGTTTTTAAAGTTATTTTTATTTATTTTTCGTTTCGAATTATCGAATTTAAAATTTTACATCGAATTTATTCCTAATATGTCGATTATCATAATATAAATAATAAACAAAAGGACAAAAAGAAAATGCTAAAATTGTCGGAATTATATTCTCTGAAATATCTGATTAGATCGAATGGAACTCGCAGAAAAGGCGATGAAGGCGATACAGTAATAGATGATGAATCCACAAATCGGTCCTTTCTGCTCCTCTATTCCTCTATTCCTTAGGATTAGAAAGATTTAGTCATTAGGAAATGAAAATCCGACCAATTAAATTATTTACGACCGCTTCACAAATGAATCTGTTTAGAAATTTCTTTTAGAAATTTTTTAATTGACAATTTACAAAATGGAAATTATTAAAATGGAAATTATGCGGGCAATTGACAAATAATTACCACTTAAATTTGCCTCTTTTTACAAATTTGTTATTAGCGCGAGAGATTTAAAGTTTCATTTTTGACTGAAAAAAAAATTTATTCACGGATTTGGAGGATTTTTTGCAGTAAATGGCAAATCCAAATGACGTTTCGTGCAATTTTTTGTTGAATTTTCTCGTATTAAAGTATGTGGACCGATAAATTGTAGGAGTAATTGGCCTGAAAATTTAATATTTAAGTGATATAATTTCTCTGACGAGAAAAATGATTTAAGTGATTTTAGTGATATAATTTCTAGAGTGACGAGAAAAATTCCACTTTTTTTTCGAATATTAAAATAATTAAAATTGCTGGACCATCCAAAATAATGATTTTCATCTTTATATCCATTTTTTGAAATGACTTCACTTTGGGTTTGAGGCAAGAGGGAGGCTGAGAAATCACATCGCAAAAAGTAGATAGTATATTTGCCAATAAAAATTAGTAATTTGGCTAACCTAATGGAGCTGTTAAAATAATAGCGAAAACGCAGATTTCCATTATGATTATTGCAAAATTCTCGTATCTTTTATACGAAAAACTCATTGCGATAATTTGCGGTACCAATGCTGCCTGCAAAGAATTCGAATAATATTTTCAAATATATTAAATTTTTTTTCGATATTTCTGAATTTAACCTGAACTGTTGCCTTTGGCAAGAATGAAAGACTTATAAACAATTGTTCAAGAAAGGTGAAGCCAGATAAACATGTTAATATAAACACTATCAGCGATCGTATCACTACACCGATGATCAGTACAGTGAATCCTATGGCGATCGTTCTTAGTTCGAGCTATAAATGAAAGAAAATTATTTCCTCTAATTGTTAATTTATTATAAATCTTATAAATTAAAAAAATTTTTCTAGGGAATTTTTTTATAATATAATGCATACAATTCAGCGAAATTTTATTTCTACAGCTGGACTGTAGTCCATTTTTTATCAAATTCTCGTTTCCCATTTTTCACTCTAAGAAACCTAGCGATTCAGCGAGGCAAATAGGTTGCTTTGAAGTTTTGTGCTATTTTTCGCTAAGCGCTTTTCATATATTTTTATGTCAAAAATATCACTTCAGAAACTCATTGAATAACTTCTTTTGAAAGATGGAATTTAAAAGTTTTGTGAATGCAGTAAAGTAAAATTCCAATACCCACAATTTTTATGTCGAAACCATATCCAATCAGTGCAAATAGCATTTGCATTCCAATCAAATTCCACATAAATGAAAACGTTTCTTCCTCTTTCTCCGTCTAAAGGAAATAAAAAAATCTAATAAAATAGAATCTAATAAAAATTAGATAAAGACTATAAGAAATATGAAAAAATCTTAAAAAACTCAGAGCAGTAAGGAATTATTTAGGAATTCTATTAAAACGAGAGAAAGGACTGCTTGAAGGTCGAATACATTTGCCTACCACCAATTTTCACTTTTTTTAGAATTACCAAGCTAAAAGGCAAGATAGTAGACTAATCGTAGTGAAAAATATCATAAGACCATCTTTTCTAAATTGATAAACTGATGATACTTTATGTTCATTTAAGATATTACCAGGTTGACATTATCATGTTTCCATCGTATTGGAGCAATTATGCTTGAGGCAATAGTTGCAATGACTCCACTACTATTCCATCCTATGGCTTCCCCACAAAAAATAAAAGCGAGACAAGAAAATAAAAGCATAATCGTCCTTATAAAATGAAGATGACGTACAATTTTCATTGGAAAGAACCACATGAAATATCCTTAAAGAAATGTACTTACAAATGTACTTATATCACTTATTATAATAATGTTATTGTTAGGAAAAATTTTTGATGAAAAATTGAGAAAGATTATTAATACCTACAGAAGAGCCGAGAAACAATCCAGTTACCACCTCTGCTGCTATTTTTATAAATTGGATAGTAAGATTCGCTAAAAATTAAAAATAGACAATTATTTTGTTGTTTTAAATTCAGCAAGAATATTAGTTTTGAATTCTTTGGGTATTTTAAAGATAGCATTGAAGAAAGTTTCTCACTGAAAAGGATTTGGGTTTCCAAAATTTCGAAATAATGGATTTATGGAGCTAAAGGCAAGTAATGCATATCGAATAATAACTTATCCGTTAAATATTACATAGCTACCATATTTTTTATTCGAAAATATAGGAAAATTTTGAGGCAAAATGGCCTGCCAGATAAGATAGATTGGTTAGTACTCCAGTTTATCGCTTTGAAATCCTTACCAAGGAGGCACTTCGCGTCAGAAATACGAGTCTAACCGGCACAATAATGCCAACCACTTACTTTCTTACAATTACCAATATTCCTTTCCCATTAACATTTTTATTTTGATTTAAAAAAAAAAGGTAAAAAATTCGTTGAACTTCATAAAAAGAAAGAATCAAAAAATTATTTCCAATTGATTTGTCATTCAACGAGGTTAAATTTTAAAGGAAAATAAGAAAGTTTCAAAAAAAGTTGGACTTTTTCTTGGCAAAATGAAGAATAATAATTTGGTCGCTAACCTTCAGTGGGATGGAATGTTGCGAAACTATTAAATTTATTTAAAAAAATAAAAACGAAATATTTAATAAAATTTTCCTCAAATTGCAATTTTTAAAATTTCACTTGAAGTAAATGCGATTGATAGAAAGATGTTTGTCAGGGTAAGGCAGATCAAATTATCGATTGCAGCAGAAGCTAAAACTACCGTTGGAACACCTGAATCACTTCCGTAACCTTTTTTAATCAGAGAAATCATTGTAGGGATTGTAACTGCAGGTGATGTAGCTGCTAAAGTTGACCTTAAATTAGCAACGATCATTTTTTATCAGAGACATTTTTTTAAAAAGCTTGGAGCAAATCGTAAGCAATATTGCCAAGGGAGGAAAAAAAACATACCCAAAGATTGAGGACATTTTCATGTTGATTTTCAGGAGGAAAAATGATGAAACAGAGATCACGATCGCTTCAATTATCGGTGACAAGAAGCCAATTCGAAGTATGACTGCCTAAATTTAAATTTTCATTCATAAATACACAAAAATTTCAATATTTAAATATTCATAAACGCTGATAAACTCAAAGAAATAATAGCTTTTTGTTTCTTTAATGCGTTGAAATCCAGACTGATTCCGCCACGAATCAAAATTATGGTGAACGCTGATTTCGCCAAAAAGTGATGCATTGAATGATTTATGAGTAAAAATTCCGAGAAAACTGGCATGTTCCGATAAAAAATACCGCACAGTAGTGCACCTAGAAAGAAAGGATCATTTTGCGATAGGTTTGTGCCGGTGAATCGCTAACACCATCAGGATTTCATTTTTAGTAACAGGTATATCTAATTGCTGGGAAAGTAACTAAGCCCATTACGAATTTACTTCTCTTTTACAAGAACTTTTTTTTAAACCTTCGAAAATAACCAAATTTTTTCTTCCTCTACGAACATTAACTATACGGGAAAGTAATCCCTTCGCATTTGATTTCTTCTAAATTCCAATCGTTTGAAATATATTTGAAATTTATTCATCGGAAATAAAATAGAGATGAAATAGAGATGCTTATAAGATTTGAATATCTAATAGAACTATATTTTTCAATAGCAAATTACTGCATTGCAAGTTAAAAAGTATTGCAGAATTACTATTTAAATTTTTGAATTTAAGCTAAATTTACCAAATAAACTGGGCAATTTCAAATAATGAACTATTCGACTGCATAGCATAGCAGAAATCCAGAGGATAACTAAAGACATTGCTGAATGTTGTAAATGTATTGAGTTAAAATTTTGGTGACTTGACGCGTTCACGTGATAATAGTAATCAGCCAGAGGATGTAGAAATTCACGTTCAAAAACTAAAAATATAATTGTTGAGTTCTTATCTTCTGCAAAAATTTTAAATTTTTTAAAAATTGAGATATTTTGAAAATATCCTCGAGCAAGAAATGGTTCTGAATTGAGAATAGGAGGATGTCCTTGATTTTTTCAAGAGATCTTTTATTATGAATAAATTTCAGTAAAATTATTTGCAAATTTATGGAGATTTTGGTTACTTCATCCCAATTTCCATTAAAGTTACTTCTGCGTTCTAATGTATTCCTAGAATTCCTAGAATGGCAACGCGCAAACGTGAATAATTTTGCCACGTATTATATAAAAACTGACGTGAGACTGCCATAACCAGGTGGATGAATTTCAATATTTTACCTTATCATTCAATTAATTTTAATTTTGATTGTTCGAAAAAATACAAACAAGTAAGAAGTAAGAAAAAATTCAACAATTATTACAAAAATTAAATTGCGTTAACCTGCGAGAGATGCCAAATAGATTGAACATAATATGAATATACAGCAAACGATAAAATTATTCTAAAAAATATTAAATTATTTACGTTATCTATGTCTATATTATTCACTGTTTAAGCATCCATCATTTCTAGCTTGGCTGGTACCATCAACTATCACTTATGATGCCTCTTAGATGATCTTGGAAATAAGAAAGAGTCGATCGCCAGTACCACACAGATTTGACTTTTAATGACGGGTTTCTTCGCGGCCATATACTCCCTCATAGATAAAGTAACTGATTCACATGCTCTGAGCAAAAGTATATTTAAAGTATATTCGCAACAAGCCGAGTTCGATTAAATTAGTTCAGATGATGACGAAATATAGAAAAGTTAACTGTAAGCCACCGTACCTGCTTATTTTTGAGAAAATATCTGGAAGACGATTTAAAAAAAGTTTTGAAAGCGCACATATCCTTATAAGCCATTTAGTAGAACGAAAAAAAGAGTATCACTAAAGGGTATCAGTCTGTTGTATCAGCGGAAGTAATTGTTTTTCCTAAACAGAATTATTTACTAAAACTTGTTTTCGATCATTTTGGCGATTCAACTGACTTTTTAGAAAAAAAAAGGAATAATGAATGAAAAGAAGAAATTTTAAAAAATTTATTTTTGCTATCAATAAAAGCCAGCAGCAGAATATTCGAAAGAGTAGTGGTAAAATTGTAATATTGAGGGGTAAGGATTCGGTTTCCTACTCCTTACAGGAGCAAATCCGAGTGATGACGATCTGTACTTCTATCTGTACACTATGTGACTCTCTAGCAAAAATTTCTAATTGGTTAGTAAGGTTGGCCAGAAACGCCAAAAATAATGAGCACCAAAGAGGACTTTTTTTACTTTTTTGCCATTAATCATTTCTGTAATACATTTAATTTTATTTCCTTCGAATAAAATATATTTATTTTATAAAATTTTAACCATTATGGAACATCGTTGAGTATAATTCTTTTTTGAATGAATTTCAATACATTTTAGGCGACTTAAGGAGAATTGTACTACAATTTTGCTGCACTCGTCGTTCATTGTGGCGATTGTAAATGCATTCATCGATTTGCCGAAAAATTGTTTTAAGGTTTATAAGGTTTTTTCAACGATTCAGTTGAATTATTTAAACTATTTTCAATCGTTTTTGCACCAACGATCTTCAGAAAAGCATTTTACGTATGTATAAAATGCAAAACATATGGAAAAATATATTTAGCATAGGGAAAGGTGTCATTAAAAGCGAATTTCGGATAATTGGAATCGCCTTGCATCTCTATTGTTATAAAACTCTCTGACGAAGAGCATCCTACAATCAGTGGAACCAAATTAGGAATGATGATTGCTGTTAGAAGAGGAACAAGATATTATTTGTTTACACTGTGGCGAAATTTAAAGAGTTATGATGAAGTGTCTAAAGAAAAGGCTATTTTCATTCTAAAATTTCTCATTTCTCATCATTAATTTCTTTTCTGGCTTTTTGATTGGCAAATATGCTGAGACTTCTCGCTCATCAGAGAATCATTCGGGATCGAGTTAGAAGTGGATCTTCAGGTCAGTCAGCTGCGATTATTTATTATATACTACTGCATGACCAAATTTTATATTAAAACTATAGAACTTTATGAAAATATGATTAATATTGCTCGTTGAAAATCGTTTTTCTCGCATTTATAAACTGTAAAATGAAATATAATAGGCATTTAAAAGATCGCAATTGTAGCATATAAAATATATTACTAGTAACCTTTACTGTGTTTGTCCGACTCAAAACTTGTTTGATTGTACTACAGATTAGAGACATATTTAATCCTTTCGCATTGTTGTATTCAGCTGTTTGTAAATAACTTATTTTATTTACTACAAATATTCTTTCAAAATATTATATTCTATTGATTTTATATGCCCAAAAACTCAATGCGAAATCTTTTATTTGTTAGATGACAAATGACAAATATTTTAAAAATTATTAGAATTTTAAGTTGCGAGAATATTTTTCGTGGACATCGCCAGAGATCGAAGCATTTCTAAACTAAACTTGGCGAATTATCAATGTTCAAATCGCACAAATATTAAATTTCATGAGGAAATATGCGATAAAAAAATTTAAATTCTTTATAGCGCAATTTATAATCATATGTTTTTTCAATAAAAAAATTTATTCGCCATTCACCAAATCATAAATTAAACATTAATTGATTCAAATTGTACTGTTTCCACAACGTTTGTGATTAGATTAGATTTGATTTTATTTGATTCATTGAGAATTTACAATAAAATTATACGATTTCTCAAATGGTTTGATTGCGCGGAACACATTAAACTGCGATAATTGAGCGAAAATAAAGACCAAAGTGTTTTGTAGTTGCATTTGATTATTAATAAATAGCGTGAAGGAAGAATGAACGATTATAGGTTGCAAAGTAGTTACAGTAAATTTCTGCAAGATCTAAATAGTACCAGCGAGCAAGCAGTGGAAGGTGAATGAAAAGGTTCCTGATTAATAGAGAGAACCATTAATGAATAAGAGGAAAGGGAAACAAAAAGATATGCCATAGTAGAACCTATAAGCAGACAGGTTAAATCTGGACGCTTTAAGCAAATACCTGGCAAAACGAGGCAAAAACAAGAGAACAAGCATCATCATCCTTCTCTCTCGCTACAGCCTCCGTTCACCTGAAAAAAGCGAAACATGGATCACTTAGGCAGATGTCTCGTCCTGCGAAACTCCCATAGAAATAACGAAAAGTACCAAAAATGCAATATTTTAAAATTGGTAGATATATGAGTTTTTGGCAAGTTTTAGGAATAAAAAAATCTAAAACCAAAATTTAAATTTCAAATCAAATATTAAAAAAAATTTGAAGTCTGACAATAGTGTTACAATAGTGTCTTACTGTTGATTTTAGTTATTCTTTTTCCTACTTTTGTTTTTACTACAATTAAGCATTATTCTTATCGTTTTGAAATGGTATCTTCAATTAATTAAGGCTGAATAGCGAAAAATGAAATTTCTATTCGGTTCGAAGAATTAAAGTGAAATCCGATTAGCGATAGAAAGCTGTCTTGTGCTTCTATACGCAAATTGCATCTGACCAAAGTGACCTCACTCTAGTGGTCATTAATTCTACTAACCAAGCCAGAAATGGTGAATTGCGTTTTGTAAGATACAATAATGTGAGAGATGGTTCGCTCCGTTGTTAAATTCGCTACTGTGCTAGAAATAATGAAAATTATCCATAATGGCTTTTTTTTATAAACGTGTTATTTTCAAGAAGTCACTCACGAAACAATTTTATGCGCAAAATTCCTGGCGCAATTAACTAGTTTAAAAATTGTCAAAATTTAAAAGCACTTAAGCTGTTTTTAATCTGAACGGAAACCTGACCTGATGAATGAAATGAGAGATGAAAGACAACCAATTATCGTTGATTTATAAGTTATTTGATAGATGGCAGTCATAATTTTCTAAATTATCTATTTTCAATTTAATTCTTTTTTTTCAGTTGTTTTTTTTTTTGGTGCGCAAATAAATTTGCAAAACTCTTTTTAATAGGAACAAATATTTAAATAGATTTCTGGAATTATTAAAAATGCACGTATTCTTCAAATGAGCAATTATTCTCTTTTATTGTTCTTTTTCTGTCGAAATTACTTTAAGAATAAAAATCTCGCAAAAATTAAAGCTATTCTAAGTTATATGCGATTTTCAGGAAGAAAACATATTTGGCTGCTGTCATAAGTAATTTCGCGGATCCTTTCGTCGGAGAGTTGGAAGGAGAAGGTTGCGAGTGCTCGTCGAGCATCGTTCCATCAGTTATTGTATTAATTAACTTCGGCGAGATACTTTATTGCAGCTAACGACGTGACAACTCCGAATTTATGATTGTTTATTTGCTCCGAAAAATATGATTTTTAGGAAAGTTTATGATTTGTTGATGAATTAAAGAAAATGCATAATTGGCAGTATTTTCAAGAAATTTATGATTGTATTTGAACGCGCTGATTTGAGAGATCGATTAAAAACACTGATTATTATGGCGAAGGCCTTAACTATGAATGAATACGCTTGAGTACGAAATGGTCGTTCGCCCGATTATTCAGCGCACTAAGGGATGAATTCCGGTTTGCAACAGCAACCCTAATATTCCAATCTCCTCATTTCGGCTTCTGTTCCATTCATTGCCTCTCATACGTACTCTAATTTCTAATCCATAATGCAAAAAACTTTAATTTTTATTCCCATTTTTAATATTTTATTAAATTTTATTTAGTCGTGTCATAATTATTATAGTTTGCATTTGCGTGAACAATGTCGTTCGTTAATGCACCAATGGCTCGCCAACCTCTCGGAGGTCGATCTAGAGAATCAAACAGTAATTTTTTTTCGCATTTTTTTCAAGAATTACCTTACTATTATATTATTTTTTTCAACTTTTTGAACCTTCAATCTTACCTGCACACTTTACTGCACTTTCGATCATTTGGTCTTTCTAAAAGCCAAGTTGCAAGTGAGTTTCGAAAATGTCGAATTTTCGGTAGACAAGCCTACTCTCGCTTGGAATGGAACTCAGCTCCAAACTGAAACGATAACAATCCATTGAGTCTTTCCGCTCCCAAATTGAACTTTACCAGTATGATTAAAGGATATATGGAAATCTTTCATGCAATGCTATGCCTTAATTAATTAATAATCAGTATATGCGATAACCTTTAAAAAGATTCAAATTTTTATTTTAATGGTTCTTCCTGGCCCGAAAATATCGTAAAATCAAATAAATATGTGTGTCGAGGGTAATTAAATTTATGAGCCGTTTAGATAAATTATCATAGAGTATTATCAAAAGACAAATATTAACCTGTAATTTATCGTATTTTATAAAGGCCTAATTTTTATTCATAAATGAATTCATCGTAAAATCGTTTTTAAACTGCCTCGGCAGGTAAGTATTCATTGGAGAGAATAATAGTAATAGTAAGTAAATGCTAAAATCAGATGAGTATGAGATCTGAGACTTTCGAATCTTAAATTTTATATTTAGTCTCAAGTGGGCGAATGTTAAAGATTGTCACCGAGATGGGATCTATGTCGGGAATGGGAATAACATCGCCATTCGGGCAAAGTGCTGCTTCATCTATTCGAGATAGTCGTGAAAGAGAAAAGAAAGAGATGAGCGATTTGAATGATCGGCTCGCCACTTACATTGAAAAGGTATTCGATTCAGCGATAAACATTGCATATTTTATATCTTGGAAAACGCAATTTATTAATTCATCAACGATTTAAAAAGTGATAATATCATTTCATTTGATGAAACCCTTTCGCCTCAGAGTCACCTGGTAAAAGTAAAAGTGAGTTCCAACGGCAGTTCACTCTGGAAAGAAAAAGTAAACCTATTGTACTTCGCTGAAATATTCCAAAATAATAGAGAATACCATGCATAAAATTAGAGTTGTATTTTCTACGCTATATAAAGATTTGCATAAAAACCATATTTTCGTATAATCGCATAATATTTTAAATTTTTTAAATCTTGATAACTTGAACAGGTGCGTTTTCTTGAAGCACAAAATCGAAAACTAGCTGCGGATCTCGATCTTCTACGTGGTAAATGGGGCAAAGACACCTTCAATATCAAGTTGATGTATGAAGGCGAACTAGCGGTTAGTATTGGTATCGTAGCTTTCATCCTTAGGTTTTTAAACTTTGAAATTTTTTAGCGAACAACATCATTCATGCTGATTATCATTGATTGCATTTAATTCGTTCACAAGGATTAATATGACTAATTTTTTATAATGTGTTTCATTTCGAATCACACCACTAAATTGCTATGCTAGCTTATTTTCCGTTTACGGATAGTGTAAATTTGAACAACTGGAAATATGTGAACGGTAGATTAAATAGACCGAATTCTCATGGAATTGACCGAAATTCTCCGAAAAAGTAGATTATCCACTAATTTTTATTATCGCTATATTTATTCACAAATATTCTTATTTCTATATGAAACCATAGGAAGCGAGTAGATTAATAAATGACACGAATGCACAAAGAAAAGAACTGGAAAATCAGCTCAAACAAATGCAAAATGATTTAATCGATTTCCGGAAAAAGTGAGTTTATCTGAAATGCTCATTTCAAATTCCCATCCTTGCAAATCCGTCGAACAATAATTTTTCCATTCAAAACTTCTGAATAGGTAAGTAAACCACGCTTAATTGGCAATGAGCGAGTCCAAATTAGGTTATGAAAGAATTTTCTTAATTATTTGCAAATTTCAAAACGCTCGCAAACATATCGCTAAAATTTATACAATATATTTGCAAGAATTTCTTGAAAAAACTCCTTGCATAAAAGTAATTTACTCCAAAATATGGTGAAAAAAGCAGCTAAAACCTAATAATTTGCAAATTCGATTATCGTAGAACAACTGGTTTTTCAATCCAAAAAACAAATATCTTTTCAATATCTTTCTTGCACTTTTCAAATAGTCACTTCTTTTTCTCACCTTTTCAATTTCAATTTTCTGCATTTGAAAAAAATTTGATAAAAGAATTCCTTTCGGATTTTGGCACTGCAAAAAAAAAAAAATTTTTCTATCGTTGTGCTCATCATCTTGAAATTTTTTTCGATAAACATACAAGAAAAATGAAAAATCCAGTAAAAATCAATTTGATAAAATTGCCCCACTCATGTCGTTTTGGTTTTTTGGTTAATAATGCAATAATAATTTGTTGTTCTCGTCATCTGTGATTTAGCATTTTTCGAGATCACTTACGGTACAATAAATCTATTCATTTTCATCCACAACATTTTGCTTTAATAAGCTTAAACTATAAATTGATAGAGAAAATTAATAAAATATAAATTTGGATAAACCGAGACTTTAGAAAAATTATATATGAACAATATGCACAATGCTCGATGGCTCAAAGACAAGGTAATTGTCAACAAGAATCCAGGCTTGGGCACAAATCCGTCGATATGCCATTCTTTATCAGATGGAACATCGCCTATTAGAGAAAAATAACGGCTCAATGGGTTGTTGCTCAATTTGGAGCGTTGATGCTGGAACTCTAATACCGACAAGAGTAAACCTGTCCAAGAATCCCGATGGCACTGGTGACTCATCTACACTTTATCACCAACAGACTCGCTGGCATATTTGTCTAGTCAGACAAGCCAACGGAGCAGTCTAACCAATAATGGTGACTGCTCTCTGAAAAAATTTCACATATAAAGCTATATTTCACATATAAAGATAAAAGATATATATATATATATATACATACATGCATATAATTCTTGAAAATATTTTTAATCCAGTTGTACTTTTTGTTGAAAATACTTTAGATACGATGAATCTCTTCGAGCGAGAGACAATGATCGACAAAGAACGGATGAAATGTTGAAAATTTTGGCTCAAATTGAAGCTGAGATCAATTTGCTGCGACGTAGAATCACAAATGCTGAAGAAGAAATCATGAGAATTAAGAAGGAAAACCAACAGCTTCTTGGTGACCTTCAAAGAGCAAGAACGGTATTGTCCCCATTCTGAACGGAAATTCTAGTTCATAACTTATTATATGAATATATGAATACAGAATCCATTCTTAATGGAAGAAATTTTTGGTGCAAATATAAAAAAAGAATTTCTCAGGATTTGGACCAAGAAACATTAAATCGTATTGACTATCAAAATCAAGTGCAAACACTTATGGAAGAAATCGATTTCCTAAAAAGAGTCCATGATCAAGAGATTAAAGAATTGCAAAGTCTCGCAGCACGAGACACAACACCAGAAAACCGTGAATTTTTCAAAAACGAGCTCTCGTCAGCCATACGAGACATTCGTGCTGAATATGATCAAGCAAGTTGATTCTCTAGATAAATTTCGTTTTTAAGAGATTTTCTATTTGCCAAAAAATCTAATATTATATGCAAGAAATTATATTATAACAATGCAGGCATCAAATGTCAATCGTAGTGATATGGAATCGTGGTACCGTCTTAAGGTGCAGGAAATTCAAACACAATCTGCTCGTCAAACTATGGAGCAAGGTTATGCAAAGGAAGAAGTGAAACGCTTACGCAACCAACTTGCTGATCTTCGTGGAAAATTAGCCGATCTTGAAAGTCGCGTAAGTTTCAAAAAATCTTTTTCTCTCGAAAAAAAATTTTATTTTTTCAAAGCCAGAAAATCATGAATTTTCGAATAATTTTTTGTGATTTTCTACCAATCAGCTGCTCAAAATTTTTTTTCCTCGGCTAAATGCACCGATTTCCTAATTTGTTTATCCAACAGATAATTGCATAAGATTATCGAAAATCCCTATAAGCAGAAGAATAATTCTGATTTCTGAATAAATTTCGTTCGATTCCACTGAAAATGAAGTTACTCACTTTTTTTTATAGAATTCACTTCTGGAAAAACAAATCCAAGAATTGAACTTCCAATTAGAAGATGATCAGAGATCATATGAAGCAGCATTAAACGATCGCGATGCTCAAATTAGAAAAATGCGTGAAGAATGTCAAGCTCTTATGGTCGAACTACAAATGCTTCTCGACACCAAGCAGGTTAAGCTTCTTGATTATACGAATTTTTCACCTTTTTACTAATTCGCGTCATTACTGATTAGACTCCGCTAGTAAGACGTTTCCAAACCGCTCGGTCCGTTGCCATTGTAACTCAGATCACCGTCATTTTTCATGTCCATGTGCAGCTGGGCCACCTCATTCAATGTTTCCATTGCATCAGTCCAGATTTTGATTGATCCTCATTGCTATTAATGCCATCCACTGCAATTTTCAAGAAGCATAAGTTTTTTAGTCGATTCCTATAATAGGCTGCTGAGAACATAGCCGAACATGGTGTATGTAAAGTGTTGTTTAAAGGTTGTTGAATTATACGCTTTGAGAATTTAATCAGCATAAATGAAGTTTTGAATTACGAATTAAACCTTCGTATTTTCTTCAAATGATTTTCTATTGGAAATTTATATAAATTTTTCGATGAGAAAAATTATTTTATTTTTATTTTTATTTTATCATTTTTATATAATATAAATATTTTAAATATATTATATTTAATATAATATAAAATATTAAATATTTCTATAATATTTTTAAAATATTTTGTGGAAAAAATTTTTGTTTAAAAATTTATTCTGGAATAAATTTTCTAAAAGATTTTCATTATTTTTTAGACCTTAGATGCTGAGATAGCAATTTATCGTAAAATGCTAGAAGGAGAAGAAAACCGAGCTGGATTGCGGCAACTCGTCGAGCAAGTTGTTCGCACACATGAACTTTCACAACAAGAAGATACTGGTTAATATCTAATTTGATCCTTCATATTTGGATTCTAGTACCACTTGGATCTCAATGAAAAGTTCACTCTCATCAAAAAGTAGGAATCGTCGAACCGATGGCGGATTGACCTTAGCCGAGCATCTATTCTCTCTACTTAGCCAATCACTTTCTTTTTCAATTTTTTTCATTTGATTTTGAAGGCTTAATGCTTAAGATCCTTGGATCTGTTTTTAAAAAAAACGGAATATCTACCAAACAACGTTTTTAGAAACTATGCGAGTGATCAAAGGTGAAACAGCATCACGTACTTCTTTTCAACGCTCAGCCAAAGGAAATGTTTCCATTCAGGTTATTGAAATTGCCTTTTTGTTTTTTCCATGATGCTTCTAAGCGCTTTATTTTCATCAAAAGCTAGATTTAAGGAAGCGTCCGCTGATGGAAAATATATTACTATTCAAAATACACATCGAGCTAAAGAGGAGCCCATCGGTGAGTGGAAATTGAGACGGAGAATTGATTCGAAAAAAGAAGTGGTATTTGTTTTCCCGAAGGATTTTATCCTGAAAGCTGGAAAGACAGTTAAAGTTCGTTTTCAGACTCCTTAATTTTTCTTCAATTTTAAAACTTTTTCAACCTCACTTAAAATTTATTCCAAGTTCAAAATAAAAATTTTCTATAAATCTCATACATTTTATACATATAATTATTATACATATATATTATATTAGTGATCTTTTTAATCTTTTATTATTTTAATTTTTTTATTCTAATATTAATAATCTTTTTAACGAAATAACGAAATTTCATAATTTTTTATTTTCTATGATTTTTTTCCATTTTAAAAATTTTTCGACCCCAAATATCCTTCTTCGATAGAAGTTTATTTTTAAGATTATTTGTAATAATTCCGATTCTAATCTTTTTTTTTTTTTTAAATTGATTATTCGCTACAATTTAATATGACGATTTAATTATAATTTAAGCTTCCTTTAAATTTATTAAATATATGAAATTCATTTTGAATTTGAAATGGTTTGAAGATATTTGCTCGGAATCAAGGAATTTCGGCACCACCAGAATTTCTCGTTTATGACGGCGACATAACATTTGGGATCGGCTCAAATGTTCAAACTATTCTTTACAATAAAGAAGGCGAAGAACGCGCCACATACATTCAACGTTCGAGTCAACAAGCCAGCTAAAATACTGCGATGATTCTTTACTGTAGTGATATTTACTATAATAATATTTAAAAAAAAAAAAAAAAAAAGTATTTTCAGTTAATTTTTTTATGACTGAAAAATTATCACTAAATAAATTTTTTAAGCTAAAATGAATTAGCACAAATCGCTCAAAAAAAATGAACGAAAGCCTCAATTTTAAAATATTTTAAAATCATTAAGAGATGAATTTTAGATGTTAGAATTTTTGCCTTACCTTTTTATATGGCTTCTCAATTCAGAAAAATTCAGACTTCTGTTATATTCAACTACTTCATTTGCATAGGATAGGATAAGCAAGTGAGAGTTATTTAGTGAATGAAGGAAACAAGCGAAAGGCTTGAGAAGAAATTCTCATTATTAAGAATCTAACTGCAGTTAAACGAAGAGTGAGAAAAATATACTAGCGAAATAAGTTAAGACACTTTAATAACCTGTTAATGTGCGAGAAAGCCAATGAAATAAAAGAATTTTTACTTAATGTACCTTTTTATAATGGAAAGCTTCAGAACCCATAGAGAAGGCACCAAATGGTAGACTATTTTCGATTCAGACCAAGTACCATTCGATTCTTCCTCCTAAAAGAAGAAGTCCATTAAAATTGCAACCTGGCTTATGATGAAGACTGATGAGGATCTGTATTTCTATCTTCATATGCCACGATTCTCTCAAGGAATGCTTCTATTTTATTCAGCCGAATTATTTGAACTTGAAATAATGAATGCTATTTGAAAGAAGAAGGGAAAAACGTTCAATTTGCTACTTTTTTCTGAACATCTTAAAAATCAAAACTGAAATTTGGATGGCTTTACAGTACCTCTAATTCCATGTAACTCTTTGAGAGACCATCATCATTCCAGTAGTCGATGGAATCAGCAAAAGGGCATGCGTTATTAGAAGAATAAAGTGTCAATGAATATAAGTCCAATGGGGAAGAAAACGAAATTTTGCAAAACAAACGTTTGTGCGAGAAGCGACTTTCTCTTCGAGTGGTTTAGCGTGAGGACAAAATACGAGAGCCAATTTTCTGGTGCGCGAACTAATTTATTGATAATCAATGTATTGGGAGTAAATCTCAAGTAAACAATAAGCAAACCACAAATTATATGCGCATAATTAAGTGTTGTTATGCTTAAGGAAATTAATTAAATGTAGCAGAATAACAGTCATAACTAATAAGCATTTTTGCATTATTGAGCAATTATTGGAACTATTATTAGAAATAATAGCGAATATTTCAAGTTTTGCGGATTTTGTTTTTTTCTACTCACAATTTCTCATTCTATTTGCTTAATCGGATTAGACTAATTTTTGCCAGAGAACCGCTTAGCGATGGAAGTATAAGTGTATTGTTCACACCGTCTGGATTCTATAAAAGATTCATTCTTGACAATGGTGAACCATCAGCTTTAATTCCCTTGCTAAAGAATCACCTGAAAGAGTAACAACTCATTGATTGATGCTTATTGGTAATATTTTACTTTCAATTACCATTCCAGTTGAAACCTATGTTGCTTGACTTGACATTAGCCCATGAAATACATCATTAGATCATCGTTTTTCAAAGGGCAATCAGAAGTTTACTTAAACTATCGATCCATTATTTCATGTAGAAAAGTTTACAGTTATTAAAAAACAATTTTGGGTAGAATTTTTTTTAGTTTTTTTACAGATTTTTTTGTGGCAAAAACACTGTCGATGAATGGGATTTGAGATTTTCCTCGTTATAGTGAATAAATTTAAGAACGTTAAAATTTTGTTTTTTCTCAAGTTTTTTCGTTTTAAGTGAATAAGAAAGTGGTTAACCCTTACCATTTTTAGTTAGGCTCGCTCCATTGGCTATTAGCTCAATGCTTGATTCGATTTCTTGCCAGAGAATCATTTAGTGATAGAAATATAGGTAGGACGCCATCACCGTTCAGGTTATTCTTTAATGACAGATTCATTAGAGAGGAAAAAACTGAACATTGGCGCTTGAGGCGATAAACTGGACAATATTCATTTAGCTATTCTACCTCCCTGAATTATGGTTGGAATACTCTTAAAGAGTTTTCCATTTTTTGTTCATTTCTTATAAATTTTCATAGATATTCGAAATAGTTTAGTTAGATCAAATATATTATATAAATAATCCAAATTGCTTTTGGCATTGCTGTCATAAATTCGCCTATTATGATTCAATTTTAATGATATATTGAAAGCAGTTTTGCTTCTATTACTCGATAAATGACAAGAAAATAAAATATTAACGCATAAAATCTATTCACAGAGCGTCCCAATAGTTTTTAAACCATGAAAAATTCGTAAATGAAGTTGTTTTGAAACTTATTTAGAATAAAGAATAAAATCAAATCAGTAAAATAAAACTTCCGAAATAGAATGTGCTTAGATTTTCACTGGAAACATCGTATTTTAGCCCGCACTCTTGGCTTGAATAAGTCTGAAGTACTTAATAACCAGCAGTGCTTCTATTCCCAAATGGCCTTCCGGCAAAGTTGTCTCATTCTTTTAAGAGCCATTTGAAAAAGACGAATCAAAAATAAAAATAATTTAACAAATTCTGATTGAATTTTACAATTTTAGAATATGAATTGGAATAAAAAGCAGTAAGGGATTCCACAGCAGTTATTTTAATTTTTTGAAACACATTATTAGGTCTTTGCTTTTTCGTAAAAAATTTTTAATTATTGCTTTAATGTCACTCATAAATTCTTTTTTTTTTAATTTTATTGGTATATTTTTCTATAAATAAGAAATGTTGTAAAATGTAAAAGAGATAAATTTCTCTTCTTTTTCAATAAAAATAAATTCCATTCAACAAAATTTCGCTTTGTTTCATAAAAGTATTTGATAAATAGTTAAAGTTATTTTTAAAAGTTTTTTGCTACTTTTTCTGTTTACTTTAATGAAAACCGATAAAATATTGGGAAAATTTTATTAATGTTAAATTTCGGGAAGAGACGGATCCGTCTTTTATCCTTCTCTTCTCGAACTGTCTAGCGGATTTCTCCTATTTATCAGATGCTGACCGAGACAAATGAGAGAAAGCTGATAACAGAAGATTATTAGGAATTAAGGAATGTTTTTAGGTTTGCATGAATTTATACGGATGCAGAGTTCATGTAGAAGAACTGTTTATAAATCCGCATGAAAGACACAAATCGCTTTTCAACTATCCTTTCATCCCTGTGTGTTACAGAGACGTCCACTAATTGCCAGCTTAAATGCTTTTTTGACTTTTTTTACGCCAGGATTATTTATGGTACCTCATTGTCATTAAAGTTCGAAGGTTTATCGGAAAGCTTTTTATCTAAAAATTTTCATTTTAAGAAAGTCATTACTTATCATTACTTATCATTTTTTTTTTATCTCACAATTTTTAAGATTAAGAATTTGCTAATTTTTTTATTTTCTAGTTAGCACTAAATAAGTTAAAAAAATTTTTTTCACATCTAAATTTGTTTTCACCGCTTTTTTTTCAAATTTTTTGCGATAATTAATTATTTCAATTTCAATGTTTGCATTTTCATTTCTCCTCGATATTTTCCTTCTGATTTGTTAACAGCAAAGACGAGTGGCGTTTGGCTTGGGTTATTGGTTCAAACAACAGTTATTTTGTCACTTGTTTTTTATCAGTTGTTTCTCTAAATGACTCTATGGCAAAAAACTCAGTAATATGTGAAAATGGCGAAACCAATAAGTCAGAAGAAATTATATTTTTCACGTGCCTTTTCATTTCTTCTTTCTGTAAACCAGATGTTATGAAGAAATCAGTAAATTTCTCAAAGTTAAGCTAATCCTATGCAAATCTCCACTAGTTTTGGCTGATTTTTTTTCTTAACAAATTTTTTCCAGCAAAATTTCAACCAGGCAATTAGGTCAAGAAAATGATTAGCTGATAATATTGAAGAATTCTCGTGCATAAAATAGGAAACTGTGGGTTTACAAAAAGCATGAAGAACAATCCTTCGATTTATTTCATTTCCTTTGTATATCTTTCGAATCATGAATTTAAAATGGAATCTTCACTTTTTTTTTCATTATTTTCGTTTCTTTTTCGCCAATCGACTATTGTATTGGAATTATTCTACAAATATTTGCACTTTAGATTAATTGAAATGAAAACGAGATTCATTAAAGAGATTTATCAACAAATTTTCGTGATATAAGCACATTCTTTGTTTAATTTGTCAGATTTGACAAAATTTTCTGTTTTAAGGGCATTGTAGTGCGATAGTGAGATCCGTTAAATGAGAGGTTTAGTAAATGTTTAATACTCTGCCAAATTTGGCAGAAATTCTATATAAGTAAACGATATCCTTTGAATTTTTTCGGGTAATTTTGCAATTTAATACCAATTTTATCCCATTGCATGTGCAACACTGCATTGCATGTTGCGATTTTTTTTGTCATGATAAACTCCGTTTTATAAACCATTTTTGTCTTAGATTATTAATGACAAATATCAAAATGAAGTCGTTGGAAAATAAATTAATCGATTATTTTTTCTAAATTTTTCTATGAACGAAAATTTTCCTTAACAATAAAAATATTGCAGACTAAATCGTTGGAAACGCCTCATCCTGGCAGTCCTAAGTAAATTACAAATAATTAGCACTGCTAGAAGAAACTATATTGGAAATTTAAAAAATTACTTTACAGCAAATTTTGTGAGAATATTTTCATCAATCTTAGAAGATTTTATAAATTTATTCATTGGAATTATTGTAATAATTCATTTTTTCTTGTTTTCGATCTATAAAACTGATAAAATTAATTGAATAAAAATGCTTATCAAATTTATTAGGAAATTTTAACAAAAGACTTTGGATAATCGCGATACTTCTCGGTGATACTTTTATGCAAATGTGCCTAATTTCTTTTTTTTATAGATTTCATTTATCGCCCACTAATAAAAATTTTTTTTATGAAATGAAACAAAAGTTTAAAAAAAACTATCGAATTTATAAAATTGCAAACTC